GTGATTTGATATCATTTCAATTACACATTTTTCAATAAAATAATATTACACGTAAATGAAAAACTTTTTCTTAGTTTTTAACCACGCATTTTTTATCAATACATTATTCAAAAATGCGTTATTACCAAAATAATGTGGCTCAAACACCCCCTTAATTCAAAATTAATGAATATTTGTCAAATATTGTTCCATAAAAACTTTTATCGAATATTTTTTGTCCTTATAACATAACCGTTAAAACATTTGAGGGGTGGGGGTCTAAAGTGAAATAAATGTAAAAATATTGGAAAGAGCTAATCTAGGGGTTTAAGCGGTCCGATTTTACAGATTTTTGACAGATTTTCAAATCAAACTATTTAAATCGGTTTGAGAAAAATCTAAACCTAAGCCAAACCATTTTGAACAGTTTGAAAAAAAAAACTCAAACCTAAACCTAACGGTTTGGTCCGATTTTAAACCGTTGGTTTCGCCATATATTTTTTTGCATCTCTAATTTTACGTCATTAGTTCATTGAATTCAATATATATTTATATCTTATTAGCAATAAATCTAAAACAAACTAAGTCTCTATTTGAACCAAATTTTGGGGACAAAAAAAATTAAAATTTGAACATTTATCTTACAAGTCCAACCGCCTTTGTTGACCTGTTGTTTCATGTGTGGGACAAAACCTTCTCTCCAACAGTCAATTTTATCATTATGATATGAAAAATATGACTCAAACAGGGGCTAAATATATAGGAACTTGCTACACTTACAGGGGTCTGTTTTACATACCCTTGCCAGAATGCTCATAATCGCGGGCCCCGATGTATTTTTTTCATGTGGGACCGACCACTACAGTGAGGGGTCGATAAGTCCTCTATAAGAAATTGCTCTGAATTTAAATACTAACTAAAGCAAAGTGAAATCAGAATAAATTAAAACATAATTTTTTTCATTTTTGTTCACTTTTTTTAGATTAATGACGATACAATAACGTTACAATACAAGTCTATTAAATTAGATATAAAGCCCAACAAAAACATAATGATGTCCAACCATACATCGTGATCATCATATCTGAAAAAATGATAATGATTAGACAAAGAGTATAGCCAACCACAATAATAAAATAATTGTTTATAATATCTAAATATAATAATTACAACAGTTTACGTTTGTATGATGTTACGAAACGCATTTAATTTCAGATATTTACCTTAGTTTGCTCCAAAAAATTATTGATCTGAAACTTTATTTGTAGCAAATATTATCACCGAAAGTCTAGGATCTTTTTGTCTCCGATTTGATATAACGAACTTCAATTAAACTTTGAAGAGGTGTGAAAAATTTGAAAAAGAAGTGTGTGATGCCGATGGCTCAAAACTATGTTTGGTGTCGGCTGGAGTTCATCTAAATTCTAAAGAGGAAAAATGCTTTTGATAGATTATGTTAGTTTTGAGATTATTAGATATAAATTAGGATTATTGGATAATAATAATATATTTGTGTTAGAAAATTAGAAATTGACAAAAATACTCATAAATGACAAAACTATTGAACATTACATATTTGGATGAATTTTCAAAAAAAATTATTTTTTCATTTTTTTTATTTTTATATATTTTTTCGCCCGTCCGATTTGATTTTAAACCACAATTAAATTCTCAAACTCAAACCAAATCGGTTGTTTAAAACCATTTCATTGACCGGGTCCAAATGGCACCAAACCGACGATTTCTAAAATGCGATTTCGATTCAATTTTCCAGTTTGAAGATTTTTGCTTGTAACCCTAAGCTAACCTTTATAGAGTCCCAACTAGCCCTAGCCCCAGCCCTAGCCCTAGCCCAAGCCCAAGCCCAAGCCCAAGCCCAGCCACCACCCCTCCTTCAAGAGAAAGCAAACAACCACCCTTAATTGATTAAACGGTTTATTTATTAATTAACTCATTTGAATTAAAGCAATTTGATACGATTAGTTTAAGACTATATGAGTCTCCTTCACTGTCTGATGCCAATAATACTTATCATTTTCAATCTTTATCTTGATGGGTAATTCTATTTATAATCAACGATAAATATTATACATTTAAGTGACAGCGGATCTTATGATTCACAATCCAATGAAATTCTGATGCATTTTAATAAGAGTAATGATATGTAACATTACTGATATTTAACATCAGTTTAGATAGCATCACTATTAATATTAAATTACAGGTTCAATTAAATACAAGTAATTATAACT